AGAGCGGTGAGTGCGCCTGGCCCCGCCCCCCAGCCACTTGCCCGTGTCACGGGGTGGCAGCTGAGGGGGCCTGGCCTCTTGTCTCCTCGTCCCTGCAGGGCCCCTCTTCAATTTTGACGTTCACGATGACGTGCGGCTGCTCAGCGACGCCACCGTGGAGAAGGACGAGGTAGTGGGGGGGCGCCGCGCGGGTAGGAGGGGCCCAGCCGCGTGGCCCTGAGCCCTGAGCCGCAGCGCCCGCTCCTCCTCCCGCCCTCAGTCGCACGCGGGCAAGGTGGTGCTGCGGAGCTGGTACGAGAAGAACAAGCACATCTTCCCCGCCAGCCGCTGGGAGCCCTACGACCCTGAGAAGAAGTGGGACAAGTACACGGTACAGAAGCTCTCGAGCGCTGGGTGGGAGCTGGCCTGGCTGCCCGGCGGGAGGCCCGCCCGGCCCTGCTCAGCTCAGCTTTCCTTCTCTGTCCCCTCGTCCTGCACCAGATCCGGTGATGTGGCAGCAGCGCGGCCCCAGCCCCTCCGGCTCCCTGTGGCGCCCTCCCTGCGGCCCCAGGATTCCGGGCGCCCGGCGCCCGGCTCCCCGCTCCCGAGACGTGACGGGGCCTGCTCAGCCCCTGCCCCTGGCGCTGTGTTTACCGCCTTTTTCTTTTACGACAGAGATACACGCGTCAGAGCTAGAGCACCTGTTGTGCGTATTATTTTAAAGATTTTTTTTTTAATTGAGCTAAAATTCACATAACATAAAACTCACCATTGTGACCATTTGAAAGTGTACCATCCAGGGGTACTTAGTACATTCATAGTGTTGTGAATCACCCGAAAGGAGACCCCACGTCCGTTAGCAGCCACCCCCCAGCCCCTCGCATCCCCTAGTTTACTTTCTGTCTGTATGGATTTGCCTGTTCTGGAAGTTTCACATAAATGGAATTATACAATATCTCTGCTCTCTGTGTCTTGCAAGAAAGCGTGTGTTTGGCAGGGGTGGGAGGGTGGGAGGGATATTTGGGATCCACTGGGGCCTCAGCAGGCCCAGCTCGTCCCCACCGCGGCACCTGCGTGGGTAGGAAGGGCATTCCTCCCCGTGCTTCCACCCAGGACTTTGGGCTCCTTTGTGTCTCCTAGCTGCCTGTTCCATAAGGGATATGGCTGTCCTGTGGCTCCCAGCTACCCTGTATCCCTGTCACAGCATCTCTCCCCAGACTGGACACGGGAAGGCCACTGTGGATGCCCTGTACTCAACTTGCTTGCCCACCCCACCCACGGCCAGCTCTGCTCAGGCTGCCCTGGGGCTGGTCACTGTCACGGCCCCAAGGGGGGAACTTGTTTTGGGGATGTGTGCTCCTGCTTCCTGCCCCGCCTTGGCGGCCAGCTCCCCTGGTTCCCCTGGGCCCAGCTCCAGGAGGCTGAGGAAGGCAAGCTCGCCACCCCTGCTCCCCCCTCATTCCCCTTGCCTGAGACCTGGCAGAGGGGACAGGGGACAGACCCCAGCCGGCAGGGAGCGTCTCAGCTCTGGGTCCGGCCCCACCTCCCTGGCCAGTGTGCAGATCTGACGCTGGTGGTGGGCTTTGCCGGGTGCACAGGCTCTTGTGCCCTCCTCTGTGGCAGGGCCCTCTGTCCTGTTCATCCGTGGCCTGGGGAGGCCCATCTGGCAGCTAGGAGCTGTCACTTGGGCTTCCTTACCCTGTGTCTGGAGCGGGGCCATCCAGGGTCACTTGGAGGAGGGAGGAGGGTAAAATAGGCCTGGGCACCTGGGGCAGAGCAGGGAGGGGTGGCCAGGCCTGACCCTAAGTCCTGGATGTGGGGAACAACTCTGAGGAAGTCGATGGGGCTTTCTCTTGGGTTCCGGGAACCCTGGTGGGGGGGGATCTTCTGGCCTGTGCCAACCCCCTCCTGCCCCCTTTGAGAAGCCACCAGCAGAGCAGGCTCCCTCTCCCTCAGCCAGCTCACCTAGGACTGCATGATTTGAGGGAGGTGCCTTTGGCCCGGCAGCTTCTGGAAAACAAGCCCCTTGAGGCCCAATCTTGGGTCCTG